ATAAACATAAAAATGTCTTAAATAATTGTCGGACTTTGTCCATTTCATAATGTTTGACGTCATTTGTTTACATTTGTATACGCATCGAGCAGATATAAATGAATGAAAGAAAATCGCGGAGAATTGTGCTTAAAAACAATAAAATCGACCTTACTAACCGAACGTACCTATGTGGCCCAATCGGCTAAGGCACGTCAGGCTATATGACGGTTCCGTATCGGAGGACGCATATTTTCTATTAAAATTTCTCGGACATTCAGGCCGGTAAATGTTGTTAATACTGTTTATTATAAACAGAGCATTTACTTAAATATTTGTATCTATAAAAAGAACGTATAAACATAAAAATGTTTTAAATATATATATATATGTGTGTGTGTATATATATATATATATATATATATATATATATATATATATATATATATATATATATATATATGTAATATAATATATATATTATTATTTATATATTATATGCGCGGTACTTATTAGAAAGCGCACAATATCAGAGATAGAGCTAACATATTTGGTTGAGTTGTTGTGAGTTTGTTTTACTTCAACCCAACTATATATATATATATATATATATATATATAGAGAGAGAGAGAGAGAGAGAGACAGAGACAGAGACAGAGACAGACAGAGACAGAGAGAGTTTGTTTCAAACAAATTGTCTGACGATCGCAAAAGCGTGAAACCCCGGATCACAAACTCACATCAATCCAATATATATATATATATATATATATATATATATATATATATATATATATATATATACAGTGTGTGTGTGTGTGTGTGTGTGTGTGTGTGTGTGTGAGAGAGAGAGAGAGAGAGAGAGAATATGGATAGGAATTCGACAAATGATAAAATAAATGAATAGGAAACATATTTCACTTGAAAATTTAACATATCTTACATAAAAATGATTAAAAGCAAAGAGACGCTGATTAATTGCATGATGTGTTAGACTATTTAATTGCCGCTCCATCAAGCAAGGATATACAAGTGATATTATTGGTTTGACGATTGCGTCGTATCCTAACTGTCCGGGTTTCAATTCTCGGTAGTGGATGCGCACTGCTGATGAGTCCCAAATATAGGACGAAATGGCCGTCCAGTGCTTTCCGCATTCTGTTGAGCTTTCTTCTTGACACGATGAATTAATTATGATTATCTCAAATCTTCCTAATCATTTCTATCACTTGTATATTCTTGCTTGAACCGGCTTCTAATGCTCTGGATGGAGCGGCTTGGGGATAGAAGTTGTGGGACACAGTCCCATATATATATATATTGTTGTGGCTTTGTTAGGGCCAGAAATAAAGACACAAAGAGAGGAATTGACTTAAACAAATATATTAACAAAAAACAGTAATACAATCATATACAAACGAGAGTGTTACAGCAAGAATGTTCGGTTCGACTGTCAGAGCTGACTGCTGGATAATTCCCGATATTTATTTCGGTTTAAATACGGAAAATGTGGCACAATGCAATTAAGGGGGATGGGGAAAATGACGGTCTTAATCTGTCTTAACTTTAAACTTAGCTAACCACAAACACTGATCCAAACATACAAACAATATTCCTAACACCAAAACAACGCACTCTTACCTACCTTTCTTACTACATTCACCATAATACCTCATTGTCTCTATGAAAGTCTTAAATAGTCCCCATATATACAATTCTTCGTCTGTGGCAGGGGTGAGAGAAAACAACAATTTGAAAATTATGCCCAATGAGGATTTACAATATGAATGTAATCTATTTACAAAAAAATGAACAAAATATTTTTATTAATAAAAAACCCCACAAAACTAGATGACTGCTGGAAACTTCCCTCACCAAAAGGCAGTACCTGCTCATATTTATAGCTGGGAGAGTCGATGCGTGCATGGGTAAATTACCATAACATATGTATTGCCAAATTCAAAGCCCAAGTGTTCCTTACGATAGAGGGTTACTGATTGAGGTGGTTGTTTGAATGAAACTTCTTCCTTACATATGGAATACGAATGAGGATTATTCGACCCTGTATACGTGGCATTCTATGTCATGGCGAGTCTTAGCTCTAATGGTCTGAAATGGAGGAATTAAAGATTGTAGATTGTCAGAACAACTGTCGTGGAAACCGCGATAGACTATCGTGCGGCTTGCGGGAAACGCACTGTAGGGTAGACATTAATTAATCACCTACAAGGCCGCGTAGACGCATTGTGTCAGGACGTTTTCAGACTAGAGATAAAAATTCTAAAATTGTCTAAGAAAATTATATTAATGTCTCTGCGATAGACGACGAAGAAGAGTCCATGAATTTTCTCACTTTTATTTTGTGGCTTGTGGTTAGTTGACCCGAGCACTCAATATATTGGAGCAATACTTGATCAGGCTTCGAAACGACACACACACACACACACACACACACACACACACACACACACACAGGGAGATAGAGATATAAAGGTTGAGAGTGTGAGAGAGAGAGAAAGAGTTAGAGAGAGAGAGTGAGAGAGAGAAAGGGAGAGAGAGAAAGAGAGAGAGATAGAGATATAAAGATTGAGAGTGTGAGAGAGAGAGAAAGAGTTAGAGAGAGAGAGAGAGTTAGAGAGAGAGAGAGAGAAAGTGTAGTGTAGAGCATTGGTAGACTGACTCATTTGTTCAAGTGACAATAGGCATTAGCTGCGCCCGTAATTCCGTTGAAAGCCTTCTGCAAATCACAGCAGACAGAGAGAGAGAGAGAGAAAGAGAGAAAGAGAGATAGAGATATAAAGATTGAGAGTGTGAGAGAGAGAGAGAGAGAGAGAGAGAAAGAGTTAGAGAGAGAGAGAAAGAGAGAGATAGAGATATAAAGATTGAGAGTGTGAGAGAGAGAGAGAAAGAGTTAGAGAGAGATTAGAGAGAGAGAGAGAGAAAGTGTAGTGTGGGTGTTTGCGACCTGAATTATGTCTTTCTAAAAGCCTTTTGAGACTCGTTAATAGATGTGCCGCGCTTTACACAAAATTTGATGCCTAAGGAGCAGATTTACTCCAATTTATCAGCCACCGTAAAGGTTACAGAGGCGTTCCAGCAAAGCCCCGCGTAGCAAATGAACACGAGTAGATAGCACCAAGAGCATTGGTAGACTGACTCCTTTGTTCAGGTGCCAATAGGCATTAGCTGCGCCAGTAATTCTGTTGAAAGCTTCATGCAAATCACAGCATTTAGAGTCCTGAAACTTTTTTAAGGTACCATATTATGTGTGTGAGTACGTGTACTCTAGTTAACATCTAGGTCAGCTGAGCAAAACATTCGGCAAATAAATAAACAAGAAATGTTTATAATGTACTTTAAACATTTGAAGTGAATTCTGACAAGTCTGTCTAAACTGTCATAGCTAAACCATTCAAATGGAATATACGTACATCTACTTACAGTAACACACTCCAGTGCAGACATATTGATGCACGCGTATGTCTACACTTTCTGGCCATCAACTCGAAGGTGTCGTGAGGCGAGTAGCCTTTTCCAAGATTTTTGAACGCCACCAGCTCCCCATTTCGTTACGTCTCCATTCCTCGCACCCAACATTCCACTAACAATCGGCGGCTGAAGGTTTTGGTCTCGGGAAAAATCTCGCGCCGCCGACGAGATAAAAAAAAAAATGTGTTCGGTGGCTGAGAAAAAGTGTCAAGACTGATTAGCAAAATGGACGCGATTCTTTTTGTCAGTCGGATTTTTCAATTTTGAAGCGTTTATTGCCTGTTGATGAAGACACTCCAATCGCCACCAGACCCCCCCACCCCAGAATGACAGACGAAGATGATGCGTTCCGAGATTCCACGGAGGAAGCCAATATGCAATGTCGAATGTACATTGGGCTTTTACACATGCACACACAAACATTTATATATACGCATGAATATACACCACATAAATACGCATGCATATATATATATATATATATATATATATATATATATATGTGTGTGTGTGTGTGTGTGTGTGTGTGTGTAGAATATGAATAAAAAATTAATAAAATTATATTTATACAACATATTCAAAGAATGATGTCTAAAAATGTTGGCGCTTAAAATATACATTAATATCTTTCTCCCCCTGTCTCTCTCTATATATGTGTGTGCATGTGCGTATATATATATACACACATATATCATCTCAATTGTAGAATTGAATATATGTTTTACTTATATGTCTTTGCACATATATATATATATATATATATATATATATATAAATAATATATATATATAAATACGTATATATATGTATAAATATATATATATATATATATATATATATATATATATATAAATAAATACGTATATATATATATAAATAAATATATATATATAAATACGCATATATATATATAAATATATATAAATAAATATATATATATATATAGATATAAAAATATATATATATATATATATAAACGCATATATATATATATATATATAAATAAATACATATATATATATATATATAAATACATATATATATATAAATAAATATATAAATATATATATATAAATATATATATATATAAATACACATATATATATATAAATACGCACATATATAATACGCATATATATGTATAAATATATATATATACATAAAATACATATATATATAAATACGCATATATATATATATGTATATATATGTATATATATATATATATATATATATATATATATATATATATATATATATTTAATAAATGAATAAAAATTAATAAAATTTTCTTTTGTCCATCATATTCAACGAAACTGTTTTAAAAATATTCGTGAACAAATATGCATATATATATATATATATATATATATATATATATATATATATATATATGTTTGTATACACACACACACATATATATATATATATTTATATATATATATATATCATCTTAATTGTAGTATTGCATATGTTTTTACCTATATGTTTGTATGTAGGTATAGATACTAATATATGCATGTATGAGTATATTTACAAATGCATTATGTTAATGTATTTATCGATTTCGACGTTTACTTATATTCAGTGTAGACCGCCGCTGAGAGTTTACTAGGGCGCGTTTAACTAAAGTAAACATTGGAAAAACTTTTTTAAATTCGATTTCTGATTTAAATAAAATTTCTGTCCGCTGTCAATATTCGTTTGTCTTGGATATACATTGATCAGAATTTCACTGGCATTCGGTGTTAATTAATGGAAGCGAATTTTCAAGTTTCATGACATTACATGAAAGCTGTCGACTCTAACGGACACCTATTAAGTTTGACTTCAACCTCAAATTTTATTGATACCGATTCGAATTCACTATTGTTTACGTTCGATTTTACCCTGTATCTAGCTACCCTTAAAATGTATTGAATGTAGACAACGACTCCAGAGGCTAGTTTAATACAGTTTATTTAAATGAAATGAATCGTAAACAAATTTATATAGCAACTCTTATTAACAAATTTAACGACTACCTGTGTTTACTACCCGTAAAATATCTGGTTACCCTTGAAATGTTGTTAGGTAATTTGCAGTTTAAATCCCGCGCTCAATTTCTAATAAAAAAATCCCGAATAGTTACATTTAGGTGTAAATTTACATGCTTAATTCGAAAATAACAAAGAAATGTTGCTAAAATCTACCGTTTTGGAGTTATCAACATTAAAAATTCGGACACATTCGCGTCCGCCATTATTGGCGTTTTTTACATACATTCGCTTCAGAGTAGTCATTCGCAGAATCTTACTTAGTTAGTTAACGACCTTTTTACTGATCTTACTCGTCTCATTTACTGGGCAATGGTTAATGTTAGGGTAGTGTTATCACTGAATGACTGCTCCGATGCAAATCTAGGTAAACAACGCCCGTAATGACTGTCGTGTTGTATCCGCAATCTGCCGTGCTGTATCCGCAATCGTCAGGCAACGTGTGCTGTTATATATATATAACGGCACACGTTGCCTGACGATGGCGTCCAGCATGAAACACACTGTCACCTCTAAGTGTTGACTTCAATGTTCACTTTTATATTTACACACGCTCTATCTCTGATATTGAGCACTTTATCCCATAAATATAGCACCGGATAACACTATATTTCTTCATATATATATATATATATATATATATATATATATATATATATATATATATACCGGATAAACGTTACTCAAATATGCGGCATTTGCGCGATAGGCATGAAGCCGGGTGGGAATGCTGGAGACCGGATGAGCACACTGGAAACCTGACGGGCATATTGAGGACTGGATGGACATGAAACCGGCTGCGTATGATGGAGACCGGATGAGCATACGGGAGATCTCGCGGGCATAGAGGAGACTGGATGGGTATGAAACAAGATGGGAATGCTGGTGACCCGATAAGTATACTGAGGAACTGACGGTATTCTATAGACTGGATGGGCATGAAACATGCTGAGCATGTTGGAGACTTGATGAGTATACTGGAGACCTGACGTGCATACTGGAGACAGGATGGGACTGAAACCGGATGGTAATGTTGGAGACCGGATGCGCATACTGGAGACCTGACGGACATACTGGAGACAGGAGGAACCTGAAACCAGATGGGAATATTTGAGACCGGATGATCACACTGGAGACTTGACGTGCATACTGGAGACAGGACGGGACTGAAACCGGATGGTAATGGTGGAGACCGGATGCGCATACTGGAGACCTGACGGACATACTGGACAGAGGACGGGCCTGAAACCAGATGGGAATATTTGAGACTGGATGATCATACTGGAGACTTGACGTGCATACTGGAGACAGGACGGGACTGAAACCGGATGGTAATGTTGGAGACCGGATGCGCATACTGGAGACCTGACGGACATACTGGAGACAGGACGGACCTGAAACCAGATGGGAATATTTGAGACCGGATGATCACACTGGAGACTTGACGTGCATACTGGAGACAGGACGGGACTGAAACCGGATGGTAATGGTGGAGACCGAATGCGCATACTGGAGACCTGACGGACATACTGGAGAGAGGAGGGGCCTGAAACCAGATGGGAATATTTGAGACTGGATGATCATACTGGAGACTTGACGTGCATACTGGAGACAGGACGGGACTGAAACCGGATGGTAATGTTGGAGACTGGATGCGCATACTGGAGACCTGACGGACATACTGGAGACAGGACGGACCTGAAACCAGATGGGAATATTTGAGACCGGATGATCACACTGGAGACTTGACGTGCATACTAGTGACAGGACGGGACTGAAACCGGATGGTAATGGTGGAGACCGGATGCGCATACTGGAGACCTGACGGACATACTGGAGAGAGGAGGGGCCTGAAACCAGATGGGAATATTTGAGACTGGATGATCATACTGGAGACTTGACGTGCATACTGGAGACAGGACGGACCTGAAATCAGATGGGAATATTTGAGACCGGATGATCACACTGGAGACTTGACGTGCATACTGGAGACTGGACGGGACTGAAACCGGATGGTAATGGTGGAGACCGGATGCGCATACTGGAGACCTGACGGACATACTGGAGAGAGGAGGGGCCTGAAACCAGATGGGAATATTTGAGACTGGATGATCATACTGGAGACTTGACGTGCATAATGGAGACAGGACGGGACAGAAACCGGATGGTAATGTTGGAGACCGGATGCGCATACTGGAGACCTGACGGACATACTGGAGACAGGACGGACCTGAAACCAGATGGGAATATTTGAGACCGGATGATCACCCTGGAGACTTGACGTGCATACTGGAGACAGGACGGGACTGAAACCGGATGGTAATGTTGGAGACCGGATGCCCATACTGGAGACCTGACGGACATACTGGAGAGAGGAGGGGACTGAAACCAGATGGGAATAATTGAGACCGGATGATCATACTGGAGACTTGACGTGTATACTGGAGACAGGACGGGACTGAAACCGGATGGTAATGTTGGAGACCAGATGCGCATAATGGAGACCTGACGGACATACTGGAGAGAGGAGGGGCCTGAAACCAGATGGGAATATTTGAGACCGGATGATCACACTGGAGACTTGACGTGCATACTGGAGACAGGACGGGACTGAAGCCGGATGGTGATGTTGGAGACCTGATGCGCATACTGGAGACCTGACGGACATACTGGAGAGAGGACGGGCCTGAAACCAGATGGGAATATTTGAGACCGTATGATCACACTGGAGACTTGACGTGCATACTGGAGACAGGACGGGACTGAAACCGGATGGTGATGTTGGACCTGACGGACCGGATGCGCATACTGGAGACCTGACGGACATACTGGAGAGAGGACGGGCCTGAAACCAGATGGGAATATTTGAGACCGGATGATCATACTGGAGACTTGACGTGCATACTGGAGACAGGACGGGACTGAAACCGGATGGTAATGTTGGAGACCGGATGCGCATACTGGAGACCTGACGGACATACTGGACAGAGGACGGGCCTGAAACCAGATGGGAATATTTGAGACCGGATGATCACACTGGAGACTTGACGTGCATACTGGAGACAGGACGGGACTGAAACCGGATGGTGATGTTGGAGACCTGATGCGCATACTGGAGACCTGACGGACATACTGGAGAGAGGACGGGCCTGAAACCAGATGGGAATATTTGAGACCGTATGATCACACTGGAGACTTGACGTGCATACTGGAGACAGGACGGGACTGAAACCGGATGGTAATGTTGGAGACCGGATGCACATATTGGAGACCTGACGGACATACTGGAGAGAAGAGAGGCCTGAAACCAGATGGGAATATTTGAGACCGGATGATCATACTGGAGACTTGACGTGCATACTGGAGACAGGACGGGACTGAAACCGGATGGTAATGTTGGAGACCGGATGCACATAATGGAGACCTGACGGACATACTGGAGAGAGGAGGGGCCTGAAACCAGATGGGAATATTTGAGACCGGATGATCATACTGGAGACTTGACGTGGATACTGGAGACAGGACGGGACTGAAACCGGATGGTAATGTTGGAGACCGGATGCGCCTACTGGAGACCTGACGGACATACTGGAGAGAGGAGGGGTCTGAAACCAGATGGGAATATTTGAGACCGGATGATCACACTGGAGACTTGACGTGCATACTGGAGACAGGACGGGACTGAAACCGGATGGTGATGTTGGAGACCGGATGCGCATACTGCAGACCTGACGGTCATACTGGAGAGAGGACGGGCCTGAAATCAGATGGGAATATTTGAGACCGTATGATCACACTGGAGACTTGACGTGCATACTGGAGACAGGACGGGACTGAAACCGGATGGTAATGTTGGAGACCGGATGCACATAATGGAGACCTGACAGACATACTGGAGAGAGGAGGGGCCTGAAACCAGATGGGAATATTTGAGACCGGATGATCATACTGGAGACTTGACGTGCATACTGGAGACAGGACGGGACTGAAACCGGATGGTAATGGTGATGGAGACCGGATGCGCATACTGGAGACCTGACGGACATACTGGGAGAGAGGACGGGCCTGAAACCAGATGGGAATATTTGAGACCGGATGATCACACTGGAACTTATGCATACTGGAGACAGGACGGGATGAAACCGGACAATGTTGGAGACTTGATGCGCATACTGCATACCTGACGGACATACTGGAGAGGAGGACTGAAACCGGATGGATGATCACACTGGAACCGTGCATACTGACAGGAAAACCCATGATGACCGGATGCGCATATTTGACGGACATACTGGAGAGAGGACGGGCCTGAAACCAGATGGGAATATTTGAGACCGGATGATCACACTGGAGACTTGACGTGCATACTGGAGACAGGACGGGACTGAAACCGGATGGTAATGTTGGAGACCGGATGCGCATACTGGAGACCTGACGGACATACTGGAGAGGAGGGCCTGAAACCAGATGGGAATATTTGAGACTGGATGATCATACTGGAGACTGACGTTGACGTGCATACTGGAGACAGGACGGGACTGAAACCGGATGGTAATGTTGGAGACCGGATGCGCATACTGGAGACCTGACGGACATACTGGAGAGAGGACGGGCCTGAAACCAGATGGGAATATTTGAGACCGGATGATCACACTGGAGACTTGACGTGCATACTGGAGACAGGACGGGACTGAACCGGATGGTGATGTTGGAGACCGGATGCGCCTACTGGAGACCTGCCGGACATACTGGAGAGAGGACGGGCCTGAAACCAGATGGGAAAAGACCGGATGATCACACTGGAGACTTGACGTGCATACTGGAGACAGGACGGGACTGAAACCGGATGGTAATGTTGGAGACCGGATGCGCATATTGGAGACCTGACGGACATACTGGAGAGAGGACGGGCCTGAAACCAGATGGGAATATTTGAGACCGGATGATCATACTGGAGACTTGACGTGCATACTGGAACAGGACGGGACTGAAACCGGATGGTAATGTTGACCGGATGCATACTGGAGACCTGACGGACATACTGGAGAGAGAAAGGGGCCTGAAACCAGATGGGAATATTTGAGACCGGATGATCATACTGGAGACTTGACGTGCATACTGGAGACAGGACGGGACTGAAACCGGATGGTAATGTTGGAGACCGGATGCGCATACTGGAGACCTGACGGACGGACATACTGGAGACAGGACAGGACTGAAACCAGATGGGGACGGACCGGATGAAATCATTTGAGACCGGATGATCATACTGGAGACTTGACGTGCATACTGGAGACAGGATGGGACTGAAACCGGATGGTAATGTTGGAGACCGGATGCGCATACTGGAGACCTGACGGACATACTGGAGAGAGGACGGGCCTGAAATCAGATGGGAATATTTGAGACCGGATGATCACACTGGAGACTTGACGTGCATACTTGAGACAGGATGGGACTGAAACCGGATGGTAATGTTGGAGACCGGATGCGCATACTGGAGACCTGACGGACATACTGGAGAGAGGAGGGCCTGAAACCAGATGGGAATATTTGAGACCGGATGATCACACTGGAGACTTGACGTGCATACTGGAGACAGGACGGGACTGAAACCGGATGGTGATGTTGGAGACCGGATGCGCATACTGGAGACCTGACGGACATACTGGAGAGAGGACGGGCCTGAAACCAGATGGGGAATATTTGAGACCGGATGATCACACTGGAGACTTGACGTGCATACTGGAGACAGGACGGGACTGAAACCGGATGGTAATGTTGGAGACCGGATGCGCATACTGGGAGACCTGACGGACATACTGGAGAGAGGACGGGCCTGAAACCAGATGGGAATATTTGAGACCGGATGATCACACTGGAGACTTGACGTGCATACTGGAGACAGGACGGGACTGAAACCGGATGGTAATGTTGGAGACCGGATGCGCATACTGGGACGGACCTGACGGACATACTGGAGACTGGAGGACTGGAGACAGGACCTGAAACCAGATGGGAATATTACTGAGACCGGATGATTTGAGACTGGATGATCACTGGAGACTTGACGTGCATACTGGAGACAGGACGGGACTGAAACCGGATGGTAATGTTGGAGACCGGATGCGCATACTGGAGACCTGACGGACATACTGGAGAGGACGGACCTGAAACCAGATGGGAATATTTGAGACCGGATGATCACACTGGAGACTTGACGTGCATACTGGAGACAGGACAGGGAAACCTGAAACCGGATGGTGGAGATGTTGGAGAGGACGGGCCCAGATGGGATGACTGGATGATCATACTGGAGACCTGACTGGGACATACTGGAGAGAGGAGGGGCCTGAAACCAGATGGAATATTTGAGACCGGATGATCACACTGGAGACTTGACGTGCATACTGGAGACAGGACGGGACTGAAACCGGATGGTAATGTTGGAGACCGGATGCGCATACTGGAGACCTGACGGACATACTGGAGAGAGGACGGCCTGAAACCAGATGGGAATATTTGAGACCGGATGATCATACTGGAGACTTGACGTGCATACTGGAGACAGGACGGGACTGAAACCGGATGGTAATGTTGGAGACCGGATGCATACTGGAGACCTGACGGACATACTGGAGAGAGGACGGGCCTGAAACCAGATGGGAATATTTGAGACCGGATGATCACACTGGAGACTTGACGTGCATACTGGAACAGGACGGGACTGAAACCGGATGGATGTTGGAGACCGGATGCGCATACTGGAGACCTGACGGACGGACATACTGGAGAGAGGACGGGCCTGAAACCAGATGGGATATTTGAGACCGGATGATCACACTGGAGACTTGACGTGCATACTGGAGACAGGACGGGACTGAAACCGGATGGTAATGTTGGAGACCGGATGCGCATACTGGAGACCTGACGGACATACTGGAGAGAGGAGGGGCCTGAAACCAGATGGGAATATTTGAGACCGTATGATCACACTGGAGACTTGACGTGCATACTGGAGACAGGACGGGACTGAAACCGGATGGTGATGTTGGAGACCGGATGCGCATACTGGAGACCTGACGGACATACTGGAGAGAGGACGGGCCTGAAACCAGATGGAATATTTGAGACCGGATGATAACACTGGAGACTTGACGTGCATACTGGAGACAGGACGGGACTGAAACCGGATGGTGATGTTGGAGACCGGATGCGCATACTGGAGACCTGACGGACATACTGGAGAGAGGAGAAACCAGATGGGAATATTTGAGACCGGATGATCACACTGGAGACTTGACGTGCATACTGGAGACAGGACGGGACTGAAACCGGATGGTAATGTTGGAGACCGGATGCGCATACTGGAGACCTGACGGACATACGGACCTGAAACCAGAGAGAGACCGGATGATCATACTGGGACCTGAAACAGGACGGGACTGGGAATATTTGAGACCGGATGCGACTGGAGACTTGACGGACATACTGGAGAGAGGAGGGGACTGAAACCGGATGGTGGAACTTGACGTGCATTGGAGACAGGACGGATGAAACCATTTGAGACCTGACGGACATACTGGAGAGGATGAATCAGATGGGAATATTTGAGACGGATGATCACACTGGAGACTTGACGTGCATACTGGAGACAGGACGGGACTGAAACCGGATGGTAATGTTGGAGACGGATGGACTGGGACTGACGGAAACCGGATGGATGGGAATGTTGAGACCGGATGGAGACTTGACGTGCATACTGGGACAGGACCTGACCGGACATACCTGACGGACATACTGGAGAGGACGGGCCTGAAACCAGATGGGAATATTTGAGACCGGATGATCACACTGGAGACTTGACGTGCATACTGGAGACAGGACGGGACTGAAACCGGATGGTAATGTTGGAGACCGGATGCGCATACTGGAGACCCTGACGGACATACTGGAGAGAGGAGGGACCTGAAACCAGATGGGAATATTTGAGACGGATGATCATACTGGATGACTTGACGATGCATACTGGAGACTGAGGACGGACTGAAACCGGATGGTAATGTTGGAGACCGGATGCGCATACTGGAGACCTGACGGACATACTGGAGAGAGGAGGGCCTGAAACCATGGGAATATTTGAGACCGGATGATCACACTGGAGACTTGACGTGCATACTGGAGACAGGACGGGACTGAAACCGGATGGTGATGTTGGAGACCGGATGCGCATACTGGAGACCTGACGGACATACTGGAGAGAGGACGGGCTGAAACCAGATGGGAATATTTGAGACCGGATGATCACACTGGAGACTTGACGTGCATACTGGAGACAGGACGGGACTGAAACCGGATGGTGATGTTGAGACCGGATGCACATACTGGAGACCTGACGGACATACTGGAGAGAGGAGGGGCCTGAAACCAGATGGGAATATTTGAGACCGGATGATCATACTGGAGACTTGACGTGCATACTGGAGACAGGACGGGACTGAAACCGGATGGTAATGTTGGAGACCGGATGCGCATACTGGAGACCTGACGGACATACTGGAGAGAGGACGGGCCTGAAACCAGATGGGGAATATTTGAGACCGGATGATCACACTGGAGACTTGACGTGCATACTGGAGACAGGACGGGACTGAAACCGGATGGTGATGTTGGAGACCGGATGCGCATACTGAGACCTGACGGACCTGGAGAGAGGACGGACATATTTGAGGAGATCACACTGGAGACTTGACGGACTGGGGCCTGAAACCAGATGGGAATATTTGAGACCGGATGACCTGACGGACATACTGGAGACAGATGGGAATATTTGACCGGATGATCATACTGACTTGACTGGACAGGGGACTGAAACCGGATGGTAATGTTGGAGACCGGATGCATAATGGAGACCTGACGGACATACTGGAGAGAGGACGGGCCTGAAACCAGATGGGAATATTTGAGACCGGATGATCACACTGGAGACTTGACGTGCATACTGGAGACAGGACGGGACTGAAACCGGATGGTAATGTTGGACCTGACGGACATACGGATGCGAAACCAGATAATGGAGACCTGATCACACTGGGACATACTGGAGACAGGACGGGACAGAGGACCGGGGCCTGAAACCAGACTGGGGGCCTGAAATCAGATTTGAGACTGGATGATCATACTGGAGACTTGACGTGCATACTGGAGACAGGACGGGACTGAAACCGGATGGTAAAACCGTTGGAGACCGGATGCGCATAATGGAACCTGACGGACATACTGGAGAGAGGAGGGGCCTGAAACCAGATGGGAATATTTGAGACCGGATGATCATACTGGAGACTTGACGTGCATACTGGAGACAGGACGGGACTGAAACCGGATGGTAATGTTGGAGACCGGATGCGCATAATGGAGACCTGACGGACATACTGGAGAGAGGACGGGCCTGAAACCAGATGGGAATATTTGAGACCGGATGATCACACTGGAGACTTGACGTGCATACTGGAGACAGGATGGGACTGAAATGGGATGGTAATGCCGGTTGGAGACCGGATGCGCATACTGGAGACCTGACGGACATACTGGAGACAGGACGGGCCTGAAACCAGATGGGAATATTTGAGACCGGATGATCACACTGGAGACTTGACCAGATGGGGATACTGGAGACAGGACGGGACTGAAACCGGATGGTAATGTTGGAGACCGGATGCGCATACTGGAGACCTGACGGACATACTGGAGAGAGGAGGGGACCTGAAACCAGATGGGAATATTTGAGACCGGATGATCACAGGAGGGGACTGAAACCTTGGAGACCGATGCATACTGAGACAGGACAGGACAGGAGGGGACTGAAACCAGATGGGAATGTTGGAGACCGGATGCGCATACTGGAGACCTGGACGGACATAATGTTGGAGAGAGGAATGGGCCTGAAATACAGATGGGAATATTTGAGACCGGATGATCACACTGGAGACTTGACGTGCATACTGGAGACAGGACGGGACTGAAACCGGATGGTAATGTTGGAGACCGGATGCGCATACTGGAGACCTGACGGACATACTGGGAGAGGACGGGCCTGAAACCAGATGGGAATATTTGAGACCGGATGAAACTGGAGACTTGACGTGCATACTGGAGACAGGACGGGACTGAAACCGGATGGTAATGTTGGAGACCGGATGCGCATACTGGGATGACGGACATACTGGAGAGAGGACGGAACTGAAACAGATGGGAATATTTGAGACCGGATGATCACACTGGAGACTTGACGTGCATACTGGGACAGGATGGGACTGAAACCGGATGGTAATGTTGGAGACCGGATGCGCATACTGGAGACCTGACGGACATACTGGAGAGGACGGGGCCTGAAACCAGATGGGAATATTTGAGACCGGATGATCATACTTGAGACTTGACGTGCATACTGGACAGGACGGGACTGAAACCGGACATGGAGACCGGATGTGCATACTGGAGACCTGACGGACATACTGGAGAGAGGAGGGGCGCCTGAAACCAGATGGGAATATTTGAGACCGGATGATAACACTGGAGACTTGACGTGCATACTGGAGACAGGACGGGACTGAAACCGGATGGTGATGTTGGAGACCGGATGCGCATACTGGAGACCTGCGGACATACTGGAGAGGAGGGGTCTGAAACCAGATGGGAATATTTGAGACCGGATGATCACACTGGAGACTTGACGTGCATACTGGAGACAGGACGGGACTGAAACCGGATGGTAATGTTGGAGACCGGATGCGCATACTGGAGACTTGACGGACATACTGGAGTCAGGACGGACCTGAAACCAGATGGGAATATTTGAGACCGGATGATCACACTGGAGACTTGACGTGCATACTGGAGACAGGACGGGACAGAAACTGGATGGTAATGTTGGAGACCGGATGCGCCTACTGGAGACCTGCCGGACATACTGGAGAGAGGAGGGGTCTGAAACCAGATGGGAATATTTGAGACCGGATGATCATACTGGAGACTTGACGTGCATACTGGAGACAGGACGGGACTGAAACCGGATTGTGATGTTGGAGACCGGATGCGCATACTGGAGACCTGACGGACATACTGGAGAGAGGACGGGCCTGAAATCAGATGGGAATATTTGAGACCGTATGATCACACTGGAGACTTGACGTGCATACTGGAGACAGGACGGGACTGAAACCGGATGGTAATGTTGGAGACCGGATGCGCATACTGGAGACCTGACGGACATACTGGAGACAGGACGGACCTGAAACCAGATGGGAATATTTGAGACCGGATGATCATACTTGAGACTTGACGTGCATACTGGAGACAGGACGGGACTGAAACCGGATGGTAATGTTGGAGACCGGATGCGCATACTGGAGACCTGACGGACATACTGGAGAGAGGACGCGCCTGAAACCAGATGGGAATATTTGAGACCGGATGATCACACTGGAGACTTGACGTGCATACTGGAGACAGGACGGGACTGAAACCGGATGGTGATGTTGGAGACCGGATGCGCATACTGGAGACCTGCGGACATACTGGAGAGAGGAGGGGTCTGAAACCAGATGGGAATATTTGAGACCGGATGATCACACTGGAGACTTGACGTGCATACTGGAGACAGGACGGGACTGAAACCGGATGGTAATGTTGGAGACCGGATGCGCATACTGGAGACTTGACGGACATACTGGAGACAGGACGGACCTGAAAGCAGATGGGAATATTTGAGACCGGATGATCACACTGGAGACTTGACGTGCATACTGGAGACAGGACGGGACAGAAACCGGATGGTAATGTTGGAGACCGGATGCGCATACTGGAGACCTGACGGACATACTGGAGAGAGGAGGGGCCTGAAACCAGATGGGAATATTTGAGACCGGATGATCATACTGGAGACTTGACGTGCGTACTGGAGACAGGACGGGACTGAAACCGGATGGTAATGTTGGAGACCGGATGCGCATACTGGAGACCTGACGGACATACTGGAGAGAGGACGCGCCTGAAACCAGATGGGAATATTTGAGACCGGATGATCACACTGGAGACTTGACGTGCATACTGGAGACAGGACGGGTCTGAAACCGGATGGTGATGTTGGAGACCGGATGCGCATACTGGAGACCTGACGGACATACTGGAGAGAGGACGGGCCTGAAACCAGATGGGAATATTTGAGACCGTATGATCACACAGGAGACTTGACGTGCATACTGGAGACAGGACGGGACTGAAACCGGATGGTAATGTTGGAGACCGGATGCACATACTGGAGACCTGACGGACATACTTTAGAGAGGAGGGGCCTGAAATCAGATGGGAATATTTGAGACCGGATGATCATACTGGAGACTTGACATGCATACTGGAGACAGGACGGGACTGAAACCGGATGGTAATGTTGGAGACCGGATGCGCATAATGGAGACCTGACGGACATACTGGACAGAGGACGGGCCTGAATCCAGATGGGAATATTTGAGACTGGATGATCACACTGGAGACTTGACGTGCATACTGGAGACAGGACGGGACTGAAACCGGATGGTAATGTTGGAGACCGGATGCGCCTACTTGAGACCTGCCGGACATACTGGAAAGAGGACGGGCTTGAAACCAGATGGGAATATTTGAGACCGTATGATCACACTGGAGACTTGACGTGCATACTGGAGACTGGACGGGACTGAAACCGGATGGTAATGTTGGAGACCGGATGCGCATACTGGAGACCTGACGGACATACTGGAGAGAGGTCGCGCCTGAAACCAGATGGTAATATTTGAGACCGGATGATCACACTGGAGACTTGACGTGCATACTGGAGACAGGACGGGACTGAAACCGGATGGTGATGTTGGAGACCGGATGCGCATACTGGAGACCTGACGGGCATACTGGAGAGAGGACGGGCCTGAAACCAGATGGGAATATTTGAGACCTTATGATCACACTGGAGACTTGACGTGCATACTGGAGACAGGACGGGACTGAAACCGGATGGTAATGTTGGAGACCGGATGCACATACTGGAGACCTGACGGACATACTTTAGAGAGGAGGGGCCTGAAACCAGATGGGAATATTTGAGACCGGATGATCATACTGGAGACTTGACGTGCATACTGGTGACAGGACGGGACTGAAACCGGATGGTAATGTTGGAGACCGGATGCGCCTACTGGAGACCTGCCGGACATACTGGAAAGAGGACGGGCTTGAAACCAGATGTGAATATTTGAGACCGTATGATCACACTGGAGACTTGACGTGCATACTGGAGACACGACGGGACTGAAACCGGATGGTAATGTTGGAGACCGGATGCGCATACTGGAGACCTGACGGACATACTGGAGAGTGGACGGGCCTGAAACCAGATGGAAATATTTGAGACCGGATGATCATACTGGAGACTTGACGTGCATACTGGAGACAGGACGGGACTGAAACCGGATGGTAATGTTGGAGACCGGATGCGCATACTGGAGACCTGACGGACATACTGGAGACAGGAACGGCCTGAAAGCAGATGGGAATATTTGGGACCGGATGATCATACTGGAGACTTGACGTGGATGATTGAGACCGGATGGGAATGATGGAGACCGAACGGATATGAAACACGATGCGAATGATGTAGACCGGATACGCATACTGGAGACCTAACGGACATACAGTAAACAGGACGGGCCTGAAACCAGATGGGAATATTTGAGACCGGATGATCATACTAGTGACTTGACGTGCATGATTGAGACCGGACGGGCATGAAACACGATGGGAATGATGTAGACCGTATGAGCATTCTGGATACCTGCCGGGTATTCTGTAGACCGGACCGGCATGAAACGTGACGAGAATACTGGAGAGCTGATGTGCATACCGGAGACCCGGTGGGAATGAGCATGCTGGATACTGGATGTACATACTGGAGACCTAACAGGCATTTTGGAGAACGGATGTGCATGAAACCGGACGGGAATGCTGGAGACCGGTTGAGGATACTGGAGACCTGGCGGGCATTCTGGTGACCGGATTGGCATGAAACCGGATGCGAATGCTGGAAACCGGATGTGCATAGTGGCGTCTGGATGTGCATACTGGAAATCGAATCGGTATGTTGGGTGCATTAGATTTTCTGATAAAATTTTCAAAATCATTGGTCAATTTTTCCCAGTTATACTCAAACCTAGGCTTTGTCTTTGTTTGAGTTTTACACAGTGATGTATGTTGCGATAAGTTTCAATGTTTGTAAAATAATCCTGTGTCAGCAGGTCATCTCAGGGAGATGTACATAACCGTTTCCTTAAATTTCAAATTTAAGGGAGTTTGGATTTTGCTCATTCGAGAGAATGGCTAGTCATTTCGGGGAATTGCTACTCTTGTTACACCTGACTTGTTGATGGTGCTTCGATGCAGAGTTTAGGGGGAAATCGTAGAAACACCGGATCACATATGACAGCAACATTCAGTGCATGGGTGATTCTTTTTCTTTTTATGTGCCATGTCCTTTCAGGACGTAGGCGAACATGGCTCTCCACCTCCTTCTCTCCCTTGCAGCTCTGAACAAGTTCCTTCCCTCCGTTTCCTCCCCCCAGACCATGTTCTGTCATCCACTTGCTCAAATCTGCCAGGTATGTCACGCGTTGTTTTTTCTTGTCTCTTTTTCCCTCTATTTGACCCGTGAGTATCAGATTCTCCAGGCCATCCTTCCTCATGTGTCCAAGAAACTTTAGCTGCTTCTTTCTGATGTTAAGAATTTTATTTTGATTTAAAATTTATATGTACGTTTGTCGAGCATTAATCTTGCTAGAAAAGGGGAAATATTAAAGAAGCCAGGTCTAGTGTTCACCGTGCGTGAGATAGATATTATGCCTGCTTCATAAATCCGCCTAAGATTTTTATTATGAAAATATTTTAAAATCTTCACAGAATCAAAATCGAAATTATGATCAGCTTTAGTTGTGTGTACAACTAAAACATTGTTTAAATTTCCGAGGCGAATATCTCGTTTATGTTCGAAAACACGAGATTTTACGGACCTACATGCTTCAAAATAAAATTCTTTTCGCTTTTCATTCAAAATACTCAAATTTAGGAATACGTTTTCACAACATCGCCCACGTGACAACGACGTGATCATATTTAAACGGAACGCTGATCTTATAAAAGATTTCAGTTATCTGTTTGGATTGGTATTGCTTTTATGTCCATCGTCTTTTTCATGTTGAATTGTATATGGTCTATGTTAATTATGTTTTATGAATATGTCCTGAAGATGGTCTATTAGACCGAAACATCCGACGTTGACATTAAACATTAAAACAACATAATCGCATATTAGGATTTTTGTTTGTTTTTTCAGTATATTTTTCTTCATATATGTATATATATATATATACAGAATCCGCCAAAAAATATATACATTTATTAGAAAAGGGAAAACTTGTATTGATATTGTCGCACTAAATTTATTCAAACATCTCAAGATTAATACATGTTACCTTTGGACTCTAAGATTACAAGAGATGCACAAAATGGTGACCTTTAGCACTCGGACATTTATTAGTAGGGCAAACAATTGCTTGGGTAACGTTGGCCAAAGTTTCCAGTGAGCTGCTACACATGTCTTTTCAATTTCTTGTATAATGGCCGCCAGTGTCGTCAGTTTTCTTCAGTCACAACAACTTGTAGGTTTTGTTGATGCTGCAGGGTAATGCCATCTGCCGAGAAAATATGCTGCTACAATAAACAATCTTATCGCAATATGATAAAACCACGAAGGACAAGTTTCTCTTCCTGAAGTGTGTATACATTTTTGGCGGACTCCCCCCGATCTCTCTCTCTCTCTCTCTCTATATATATATATATATGTATATATGTTGTGGTAGGATCCACCTAATTTGCATAGTGGAGTACCGACCATATAAATATGGTTGGTACCGGGAAGAGAAGGGAGGAATCAAGAGATTCAACCAGAGACTCTGGCCAACTGCGACTCAGTCAACACATTCTCCAGGAACGGTCTTCCCAGGAATATACAAAAGACTATATGTAAATATTGTGTACACTTTCTTGTTTCAATACATTTTGTTCTAAGTACATTTTGTGTTGCATTATCATTCCATGCATTAGTCAAGTTTTCAATATATATATATATATATATATATATATATATATATATATATATATATATATATATAAAGAGAGAAAAGTAGCCGAAAAAGTCTTTGGATATAATGTGGATATTTTATATTATACATTATGTTCTATATTTTTGTTACACGAGTTTCAGGTCATGTGACCTTCATCAGGCGAAGTATGGCTATTTAGACATATTCTATAAAGGAATTATTTTTTTCTTATGTCGAGTCTTTTGACCATTGCCTTTTGTGTGTAGTAGTAATCCAAACTAATCGTGGACTGGTGGAAGAATGTTGCATTGATTAAGGGATAATGGCAATTAGGGTTGGTCAGAGCAAGGAGAAGGGATGATGTTTTTGTTCTTATCGTTTTATGTTCTCGTGTAACTCTTTAGACCTTTTTCCATTCTTGTGCATTGTGTGTATGTATTTTTGCTAGTATATGAATATATATTCCTTCTCCATACACATATATTGTTTTATTACAAGGAAATAGTACATATATACGCACTTTGTATGGTGTGTACGGTCCGTGTGTGTATGTGCGTGTGGTCCTTCTAGTATGTCTGTTTTTGCCAGTATGAGTGTATATATTCGTTCTCCATACATATATATTATATGTATATGATAATATAAAGAAATCTATACAGTAACTAAACTTTGATTCTGATTCCGAAGAACTGGGTTATGTGTGAAAAAGTATTTGTTGTTAACATTCTTTTTTCATTCGGTTTTTCCAGTTACGAGTCCTTTTTTAAAGCTGATCGTTTAGTGTTCATTTTGTTTAGTACTTTTTTCGTAACAGATGTAATGTTTAGTATAGAGCTTAGAAAAAATTGGCAGTGTGAGATAGGCAAGAAGTAAGGCATGTAGCAACATCAGCACAGCAAAGGGCACTCCTTTAAAGGCAAGGAAGGGCAAAAATGTTTTGAGTCAAGTGATAGCAATCGCTGTATCAGTCGTACGATTTTTGAATCAAGCACGGGCAACGCCGGGCCATGCTGCTAATGTATATATATGTGTGTGTGTGTGTGTTATCAACAAGTATGTTACGAATAGGGTCCACTAGGTCACCATGAGAATTTAAATGAAACCTAACTGAGCTATGGTCAGAAAGGAGGCACGGTGGAGTAATGGATAGCGGCTTGGATTGAGGAATCTAGTCGAATCCATTATATTCACTTACGTGCTAATATCCTTGGGAAAGGTGTGAATCCTCTTCTTCTTCATCCAGTTATGGGTAAATAGCAGGACAGACTGGGTTCTATAGCCTTGGATGGCAACTGGTCTAGGAGAAGGACAACTCTGAATTCAAAACATGCGGACTTTTGGGGACTTTGTGGCACGTAGTGCACCAGGTCTCTGTATTCGGCCCTTGAAAAAGTGTGGCTGGTCTTGCACGAAACCTTCACCACTATAATCAAATCTCATGTGCTGTTGTCTGGCTGTCGGTTTCCTGGGAACTGATCTGCTTGACCCTCTTACGTCGGATTCGACGGAAAGAGTCGAGAGAGAGAGCAATATATATATATATATATATATATATATATATATATATATATATGTGTGTGAGTGTGTGTGTGTGTGTTTGAATACTAAATTCATCACTTAATATATGTGTATTTAGGGACTATATATGTATGTATGTACAGGATCTTATATAAAATATATTCTACGTGCCGTCTCTTCAGGACGTGGGCGAACATGGCTCTCCACAACTTGGAGAAGGACAACTCTGAATTCAAAACCTGTATTCGGCCCTTCAAAAAGTGTGGATGTTTCTGCACGAAACCCCTGACACTATAACCAAATCTCATGTGCTGGTGTCGGGCTTTCAGTTCCTAGGAACTGATCTGCTTGACCCTCATACGTCGAATTCGACGGGAGAGTCGAGTATATATATGTATTGCGGCAAAATTAACAATCTTTTTATTTATCAACTTTTATTGAACAAAAATAAATTACATTTCTTAATGTATTTTCGCATCAAATCAACGTGACTTGTTATGATCAAAATCTATTTAACCTTAGTTCAAAATGTTTCGCTTCATGTTCAATATAACATTGAACCCTATCCGCAAAACTTCTACAAACCATTTAACACGTTTTTACATCCATTTCAGACAAAAAATGATCAGAAGTTGCTTGTTTTAATTAAGGTGTTTTTTTTTTTATTTGAGCCTGCAAACAAAATCTTTCCGTACACCCCACAAGAAAAAGACTTTGTATTAAGTCCGGTGAATATGATGACCATTCTATGTCTCCAAGTCATTCTATCTACCTTATCTCGAAATTAAAATTTAACCAATCCCGAACGCTGAAGCCATAGTTCTTCTTAAGACATTTTAAACTGCCGTAAGTTATTTTTGTTCAATGACAATTAATAAATAATAAATGGTGTTATTTTTTCTGCAGTCTGTACAACATCAATCAGTTAATTATATATATATTGGCGATGCACCCGGCGGTTCCGGGGTGTACATAGCTGTAATTGTATAACCGCAACCCCTGTATACCCAGACCCGCTGTCTAAAAATGTCTGCCTGTGTCCCTGCTTGCATGCATCATCCTTTGGTAGACTAAGTTACTCCCCACTCATTTTTTTTGCGGCATGACCTTCGCAAATGTTTGATTGTTCTTAATAAAGGAATTCCATCGATAAAACCTCCTTGTGTGGTCGTTACTCCTGGTTAAATTTTAAGTAGTACGAAAAACCCGATTATTTTTACAGTATTTTGCAATTTTCTGTGTGAAGCAAATGTCACAGGGAAACTATCAAGCGCTCTACATAAACCTCGTAACATGAGCTGATGTTTTTCAAAGAACATCAGCTCGTCCAGTAAAAATTTTGTTCGCGACTTGGTTTTTGAAAAAGGTCGTACCACTTTCAGTTTTAGCGATTTTCCTACCAAACCTGGGGGTGGGCGGGCTGTAGATTGAAACGTTGGTCTTGACCCTTTTAGTAAATATTGCAACACGTGTGTACAATTTTATCGAAATCGGTCGAAGAATGTGGACGTACATATATAGCATACACACACACACAAACAGACATATTCTGTTTATATATATATATATAATTAATAACATCACATTAATAACATATATATAATTAATAACATATAAATTTCCAAGAGGATGAAATCCAGGTAGAATTCAATGCCCAGGACAGAGTAAGAATATAATATAATGGGCTCAAACACTATGTGTGTGTATATGCGTATGTGTGTATATGCGCGTGTAGCCCTGCACACACAAATAGCAGGTCCTCACCAGGTTAAACACTCCTACATGCCCATGTTAAATCTGTAACCTATATATATATATATATATATATATATTTGAATAAACACAATTTTATGCTTATTTTTTTTTTTGTGGTGACCTAGGTAATCTTTAGGCAACGCTTCTTCAGGGAACAATATAACACAGTGGTTACTGCTGCTATTAATATATTGCTCTTCAATTACGAATTTACCTCTCTTGGCCACTGACGTATTTCGTATAGAAAACGTTAAAATTTCCCTTTCTCTCTGCCGTGCGCCGACAGCTTAGGATATCTGACTGATGCCAAATCGGTTGAGTTTTGATCCAGGCTTGAAGTAGTCGGACGTCAATCACACTGAAGAGCTGTGGTACAGCGAAATAGCGAAATATATATGTGAAGAAATGTAGTCTTAAGATGTGCTATATTCAATGTTCACTTTTATATATATATATATATATATATATATGAAATATAGTCTTAAAGTGTGCTATATTTATGGGATAAAGTTCTCAATATCAGCGTGTGTAAATATAAAAGTGAACATTGAAGTCAACACTTAGAGGCAACACTTAAAGCTTCTAAGTGTTGACTTCAATGTTCACTTTATATATATATATATATATATATATATATATAATGTAATGTCAATGAATGTAAATCATGTACTGGGCTATGTGATTATACATGAATATAATTAATATTTTAAATATTAGTGTTAAGGAAAATAATAAAGCCAGATACTTGAAAGGAAAAATATGAAAAAGGACGAGGCAGGCAAACGGTGTAAAATGGAAGAAAGGAGTAAAATAATAAGAAAAATGAATACAAAATTATTTTCTTGATCAATTCCTGTGATTATCCGTTTATGTATTTACTCACAAGATAAATCATTCCCGAAAATACCGACAAGACATCAGCCAATTACCTACCCGCCGCCATTCTCTTGCATTTATACTTACCAGTATCACCCGCCAACCGCTATACGTTCAAGACAATCCGAAAACATAAAAAAAAACTTTAGTTTTCAACCCACACCACGACAGACTTAAAATTCGACGATTTTCACGCAAAGAGATAACACCAAGAAGAACCAGAAGCAAAAACCTGACTAATTCCAGTTGTTATAGCAAATTATCGTCATTTAAGTGAAAGATACTCTTTCGAAAATAAAAAAAAGAAAAAAATCATCGCCCGATAAAGACAATCAGCCCGCCGCCATTTTTCTGTCTCCTTCAAAACTTCCCGCCAATTCGTTATTGAACAATACACACAAACGTTTGATGAAAACTATAGATGAAAAACCGAAGAGGAGGGGCGAGGAAAGAGGAAGAAGAGGAAGAGTCTGCCCGAGGCATGTTGGGATACGGGCCAATCTCACAATGAGGCTAACCAGATCTATCTTAGCGCTCACACCTTAGAAATGATATCCCGTATCTGCACATTGCCTGACGGGCCTGTCGATGATCGTATCACACGGCACGAAGAAGGATGGTCTATAGGCTGTACTTGAAATAATTGCAGATCGACGGTTCGATATGGAGCAAGGGACTTTCTCTGCCTCTCGCAACCCTCCATCTTCGTCCCTGTATCTGGCTGATATCTTCGCTGTGGGGGTTTAGCGCACTCCCGTTCCCGTTTATTAGCTCACCAACAAAGATCCGAACAGCGCTGATAGGGACGTTCGTTTTCACGTTTGGGCCGTACTGTTGTCGCTATCTGCAGACTTGATTGGACAAAATCTTTGTCAATACATCGTTGGGTGGAATATTTCTCAGGAAGTAACCAGAAAAGGGAGGGAAAAATAGATAAGAAGGGATGGGTTGAGTTCGGGAAGGGGATGGGGGTCCAGATTAGTGTACTGGCTGGTTGCCGGTTGATATTGCCACAGGATAAAAATGTGTAGGGACTAGGGCATTGAATATTAGCGAGAAAAATGGAAGAAGAGAAATGACAATGAGAGAGAAGAGAGTGAGAGAGAGAGAGAGAAAAGAAGGGAAAGACAGAGAGAAAGAGTGAAAAGGGAGGGAAAATAGACTAAAAAGAGAGAGAAAAGGGCGATAAAAAGAGAGTGAAAAGAGAAATCAAATAGGGCGACAAAAGAGATAAAAGAGAGAAAAGTGAGAGAAAATAGAGAGAAAAAGGAGACAAAAGAGTGGGAAAATGGGAGACAAAAGAGAGTGGAAAAACAGAGCGAGAAGAGATAGAGAAGGAGAGAAGAGAGATAGAAGAAGAGTGAGAAAAATATGAAGAAAAGAGAGTGATAAAGAGAGATAAAAGTGATAAAAAGAGAGAGAACAAAGAAAGAAAAGAGAGAAGGAGAAAAGAGAGATAGAAGAAGTGTGAGAAAAAGGGAGAAGTAGTGAGACTAGAGAGAGAGAAAAGAAATAAAATGGAGACAAAAAGAGAGAACAGAAAGAAAAAGAAAGAGGAAATAAAAAGAGATCACAGAGAGAGAGAGAGAGAGAGAGAGAGAAAAGAAGTAAAAAGAGAGATAAATATAGAGAAAAGGTAGAGAATATAGAAAGAAAAAGAGAGAGAAAAAAGAGATAGAGAAGATAATAAAAGAAATGAAGTGTAAAAGAACGAAAGACAAAATAAGAAAGAAAAATAAAGACTTGCGTTTAAAGAAGGAAAGAATAGAAATATAGCAGAATAAAAGTGACCAGAAAAAAAATGGATGACGTAGTGAAGAAAAGGTGACGAAATATTGGAAGAATAAATAAATAAATAAATAATGATGAAAAAGAAAAAAAACGAATATAGAAGAGAGGAAAAAAATAAGAGAAATAAAAAAAGTACTTGAAAGCTAACAATTAAAGAACCAAAAGAAAAAAAATGGATACCCCCCCCCATGAAAAATAAATAAAAAAAATAAAAAATACGACCAGAATGTGAGTTTAGAAAAAAAAAATAGTGAATGAAAAAAAGGAATAAAATAAACGCACCGGAAGGAAAACAATGTTTGTAAAGACAGGAATGAGAATGGAAGACTGAATGAAAAAAAAAAAGATCAGAAGAAAATTGACTGAAGAAAGAAAAAAAGAAAGAAAGAAAAGTGTAAAAAGAAAGAAAGAAAGGAGAAAAGTGTAAAAATAAGTAAAAAGAAAGAAAGAAAGAAAGGAGAAAAGAGTAAAAATAAGTAGAAAGAAAGAAAGAAAGAAAGGAGAAAAGAGTAAAAATAAGTAGAAAGAAAGAAAAAAGAAAGAAAGAAAGGAGAAAAGTGTAGAAATAAGTAAAAAGAAAGAAAGAAAGAAAGAAAGAAAGGAGAAAAGTGTAAAAATAAGCAGAAGGAAAGAAAGGAGAAAAGTGTAAAAATAAGAAAAAAAAAAGACTAAAATTGAAGATAACAACAAAAAGAAAAATAACAACGGAAGAAAGATAGAGGAAAAAAAAGGGAGAAACCAGAATGAAAAAGAAAGAGGTTAGGAAGAAAAGAAAAAGGGAAGAAAAAAAAAAAGGTAAATATAATAAAAATCAAATCAAAATTGAATCTAACGATTGTGAAAAAGAAGAAAGAAGAAAAATACGAGAAGAAGTAAAGAAAAAGAAGTTAAAAACAAAGACATCCACCAGCAGCAAAAAAAAAAAACCAAGAGAAAAACTAACAAGGGTAGAAAGAAAAAGTGATAGAAATAAATAAAATAATAAAATAATAACGAGAAGGAAAACTAAGGAATGAAATAAAAAGAAGAAAAAAATATATCGAATTAAAATGGACAAAAATGAAAAGCAACGACAGTAGAAAGAAAGGAAGAAGAAAAAAATGAAAGAAGAAGAAAAGAATGTTAACGGTTGTACAAAAGAAAGAGGGAAAGACAAAAATAGAAGGAAGATAAAAATTGAAGCCAGGAAGAAAGATAGGAAAGGTAGAAAGAAAAGAAAAGGAAGAAGATATAAGAGGGAAAAGAAAGAAAAACGAACAAATGCATAAAGAAAGAGATACTAAAAATTCGAAGAAAAATAACTAGGAAGAAAGTTAAGGAATGTAAAGATAGAAAAAGAGAAGAATGATTAAATGGCGAAGAGGAACGCCAATGGCTGTAAAAGAAACCAAGAAATCCAATTGAAGTATGAAGTGAAAAAGAAGCGAAGGAAAAGTAAGGATTTTGGAGGGAAAAGAGAGGAAAAAAAGACGGGGAGATGCGGAAAGAAAGACAGGAATAGAGTTAATGACTGCCGAAAGAGAAAGAGAAAAGAAAAAAAAATACCGAAGCCGGAATCACTAAAGGCGGGAAGAAAATTACTGTAAAAGACGACTCGAAAAAGACTAGAAGAAGAAAAAGAAAAAGAAAAAAAGAAGCGTCGAAGAAGAAGAAGAAAAGACAAAAAGAAAAAAAAAGATTAGAAGAAGAAAAAGAAGAAAAATAAAAAGAGAAAAAAGAAGAAAGAAAAGATGAAGAAAAGAAAAAGACGAAGGATAACATGAAGAATTAGAAGAAAAAGAAGAAGAAAAAAAAGAAGAAAAAAGGAGAAAAGACAAGAAAAACAAGATTCAAAGAACAAGAAAAAAACTCAAAGTAGAAGAAGACGAAGAAGAAGAAGAAGAAGAAAAAAAGGAGAAAAGACAAGAAAAACAAGATTCGAAGAACAAGAAAAAAACTCAAAGTAGAAGACGAAAAAGAAAATGTAGGAAAAGAATAAAAAAAGAAGACAAGAAAAATACGAAGAAGAGTAAAATAGCTCGACGAGTAAGAAGAAAAAGAAGGAGGCGAAGAAGAAAAAGAAAAAGGAGAAAAGAGAAGAACAAGATTCGAAGAACAAGAAAAAAAAATTATAGAAGAAAGAGAAGAAGAAAACTCTCGAAGAAAAAGAAAAAAGTAGAAGAAAAGAAGACTTGAAGAATAAGAAGAAAAAGATAAAAAGAAAAGGGAGAAGAAGAATAAAAAGAAAAAGAATGAATCAAATTAGAATAGAAGTAAAGCTGACAAATGTAGAATGAAAAGAAAGAACAAATAAAAAAAAATTGAGTAAAAGAAAGAAAAGGAATGATGTTATGGGTTTTAGAAAGGAATGAAAAATGGAAGTATATATTTTTTTTAATATTAGAATGAAAGCCAACTACATGGAAAAGAAGAAGCAAAAAAAATAAAATAAATAAAAATAAAAAATGGCAGGATCAACAAAAGATCCGAAGAAAAGATGACAATTTTGGAATGGAATTGAGTAAAAACGATTGTCAAAAGTGCGAGAGAAAAAGAAATAAAAAAAAAAAAGAGAGGAGAAACCCAGGAACAGAAGAAAATATAAGAACTGCAAAAAGAATGAGAAAAGAAATATTTGTGGGCAAATAAAAAAAAAAACGAAGAAAACGAAAAGTACATAAGGAAAGTAAAAATAAAAGATGGAAACTTGAGTAAAAACAAAGACGACAAAGAATACAAACGGCTCCAGAAAGAACTTGAGAAGACAAAAAACATGTAAGGACAAACTAAAAAAGACTAGAATGATTACAAACAACTGTAGGAAGAAAGGAGGGAAGAATAAAAAAAAAACAAGAAGAAAAAGTTGGCGTAGAAGCACAAAAATAAATGATAAGAGGTACAACAGAAAAAACGAAAAATAAAGCTGAAAAAAAGGTCGATTGAAAGTGGAGAATGAAAGGCAAGAAAACTTCACAAGAAAAAGCTTTTCTCTTTCTTGTCGCTTTTCGAATCGCGTACTTAATTGGTATGATTTGCTTACTCTTACAGCAGAAAAAACAAAACAACTATATACAAAGTCCATATGAATTTTTGAGGCGTTACCTCCCTTTGTGCTACCCATAATCCTCTTTCAAAATGGCTGCCTTTCTAGAGGCATAGAAAGTAAAAAGATATACAGTGTAACCCGGATATAAGAGAGTTGTCGGGACCGGAGAAGAAGTCTCTTATATCCGGGTTTGATCTATTTTATATACATTAACACAGGCTCTAATTTGGGACCAGAGACAATCTCTCTTATATCCGGGTTACACTGTATCGTATATCCCATTTTGGAAGGAGAAAGTATTGCAATCATTCACGGAAAACGAATGAATATTTATCAAGCTACACTTAATGTAAGTACAAGGAGAGGTAATACAATACAGGTAATGGCAATCCAGAAGGGAAAGAAGAAACGTATCATAGTGACAGGTCCCTCATTGGTAGGTCAACTACTGCTATTAATGAAAATTAGCCCAAACATGGTGAATCTCTTAATACAGCAGACAGGACACATTTGTAGGTGAATGAAATGGTTTTCAAACACGAAAAGGCAACGTCACAAGGTTGTTTGAAGACCAGAAAAGCAAGAACATCGCATGGTTGAACAAGCTTGCTAATTCCACTCTAAAGTACCTACCTGAGAAACTTGACTTCCATCTGTTTCGCCCTATAGACGTGGTATTCATAGGATAGCATTTTTTCTTGATGATAGGATGAATAGGATAAATCTTACCTGGATAAGTAATGAAGTAAGCAGCGACCATGAAACGATAGCGCATGCCCTCACCTGAAGTTGGAACACCACAATTTGGAAGAAAGGACGTTATGTTTAGGATTGAAGATTAGATTAGGAATATTTTTTGTTCGTTTTGGTATATTTTTATGCTTCTAAAATTAAATTCGTTGTAATTAAAGAACAAACATGTTTATTTTTTACCAAGAAACTAATCCAAGTAATGAGGAAGAGAAGACGGAAACAAAATCACAAGAAAAGTGTTGTGTCGGAAACCTACCACCCCTCTTGAAGATGATCTTGTCTGCGTCTGTGAACAAAGACTTTAAATAGTGGCATGTCAGTTGACATGGAAGAAGACAGATAGACAGAGAGGGTAAGACCTCCGAGTCTATCTGTCATGATACAGTCTTTGACTGTAAGCGACGTCTGTCGAACTCTTTGCGTTAGCAGAGAGGAACCCGGACGAAGCTTTGCCGAAGGGCAAGGTTTCGTCCGGGGAGGTAGACAGGCCCTGAACCCGTGTAGGCGGGTTCAAAGGGTATTAAATAAGCCGAGCCTACGGGCTAAAGAGATACCCACATTAAACCGGCCTTGTGCCACATTCAATCCTCGTGGGTGGATCGATAAATACTAAGATAGATAGAGAAGTTCTTATCTGAGCTAGTTATTGACTACTCAGGCGATTTCTGTACCTTTTTACCAACCTATTAAAACCCTTTTTATTGTTACGTGTTATTTGGCGTTTGTCTCTACTAACCCCAAATCAACATCATAACAAAAAGCTCTTCTCTTTCTTTTCGGTTAATTGATTCATTTTCTACGTCTTTGAAGGTTATATAAAGATATTTTTAGATTCTAAGAAATATTTTTGTAGGGGGGGGGTGGATAAGAATGGTTTAGTGATATAAGTTTTACTGATTGACCCAGAGTTGGGGAAACAGACTTGGGTACAAGGGTATTTGCGCTTAAGTGAATGTAGCCAACACAGCTGGAAATAGAACCCGAATATCTGATTAACAATTCCGAGCCATTATCCATAACACCAATGGCATATTAAATCTTACAGCACTTGGTATTCACCCACTCAGGTCGTGGCCCGACATTTGTCCGAGAGACATCTTTGGAGTGAGTAAAATGGTTTTGTCTATATGATAAAATTATAATAAATAAATAAATACATACAGTACCGTCCAAAATTAAGGGACAAAATTTAAACTTAATATTTGTTAGAAATAACAACTGTGAAAAGCTGAAATTTTGACAACTGGTAGTCGTTATCATCCATAATAACATACTAAAATTTGAATCATTTGCAAAGGATAGAAAAAGAATTATAACAATTATTTATTTATTTTCAAAATAGGATCGTCCAAAAGTAAGGGACAAAATTGAGAAAAACAATGTAAACAGTATGCTATATTCAAATTTTTTGATTTCCTCTAAAGAATAAGTCTTACTTAGTCATTTGTAAACGTTGCATTAGCCGGCATTGTGAAGCTACACAAGGAAAAGCACACCATTAGAGAGATTTCAGAGAAAGTGAAACGTTCCAAGAGTGTTGTAGGCAGGGTTGTTAAATCCTACAATGATACTGGCAAAATAGTTAGTGCTTTTAAAACCGGCAGACCCCGCAAAACTTCGGCAAGAGAAGATCGAATAATGCAGCGTATGTCATTAAAGGACCGTTTTAAGTCTTGCACAGAAATTAAAAGGGTTATGAATAGTACCTCATGTGTTAATGTGTCAAGACAGACTGTTTGTAGACGACTGCAAGAAATAGGGCTGTTTAATCGAACCCCAGGGAAGAAACCACTTGTTAGTTCGAAGAATAAGAAGAGATTAGAGTTTGCAAACAGGTATGTAATTTGGACATATAAAAATTGGGCAAAAGTATTTTTCAGTGATGAAAGCAAGTTTAATTTATTTGGAAATGATGGAAAAAACAATGTAAAGAGACGTATTGGTGAAAGATTAAGTGCAAAGTGTACTAAGAAAACTGTCAAGTTTGGGGTCGGAAGCGTCATGGTATTTGGAATGTTTTCTAGCCAAGGTACAACGCCTCTTGTCCGGTTACAAACTCGTGTAAACGCGCAGATCTATAAAAACATTGTTCAAGATCATGTTGTGCCAATCATACAGAATTCAGGTTTCGATAGGGCTACCTTTATACAAGATAATACCCCATGTCACAAGGCAAAGGTGGTAATGAGTTACCTTAGCGAGCAAGATTTGGAAATTATGGATTGGCCACCGCAAAGTCCTGACTTAAATCCAATAGAAAATCTTTGGAAGACCTTAGGAGTGAAAGTTATGGAAAGAAATCCCACTAACACGGAGGATTTGTGGGTGAAGCTTCAAGAAGAATGGTCTAAAATTAGTATCGATGATTGTCAAGAACTGATTCGTTCTTGTAGTCGAAAATGTGCAGCTGTCATTGAGAGCAAGGGCTCATTTACTAAATATTGATTGTACATGTATTTGTATTGTTTTTTTGCCGTTTACATTGTTTTTCTCAATTTTGTCCCTTACTTTTGGACGTTCCAAATTTGAAAATAAATAATTGTTATAATTCTTTTTCTATCCTTTGCAAATGATTCAAATTTTAGTATGTTATGGATGATAACGACTACCAGTTGTCAAAATTTCAGCTTTTCACAGTTGTTATTTCTAACAAATATTAGGTTTTAAAATTTTGTCCCTTAGTTTTGGACGCTACTGTATATATATATATATATATATATATATATATATATTTATACATACATGCATGAATACATACATACATACATACATACATATACACACACACAAATAAATATATATTTACCTATATATATATATATATATATATATATATATATATTATAATATTATAAAGAGATAATCATACATTGAATCAATTAGAAATATTAATGCAATTAATGGCGATATCTCTAACATACTTAATATAAGCATTAAACTACTAACAATCCACTGAATGATGCGATCCTTATGTATAAAATTG